ACGTTTTCTAAAATTAGGATGGGGAAATATTTCTTCTAGCAGGATGGTAGAACTTGTAGTCAGAGTCAGATTTACGAATTTCGCTTTCATAGATTTCTTATCGCACCTTAAATAAGAACTATACGGTTCATGGTGGGAATTCAATAGAGAAACAGCATTTATTGAAATCTGATTGTTTGTATTCAATGATTGCGACGAAGATTCGCTGCATGCAGAAAATAATTGACGACGTACTTATTGCAAAGTAACGTGTACAGCTGGAAAGACAGCGTCAAAGCACGTATTTTGATCATGTGTGCGCCTATTGTGTATTTTGAACATTTATGTGCGTAAATTTGGCATTGAGGTGTTGCTAAGAAAATTACGCTAAATAATTTATTATTATTGACGTCTATCGCCTTGTGATTAAGGAAATCTTATCAAGTTCTCCTTTTAAGCGAGAAGTCTGTTAAATATTTTGAAGACGCTTTGTGCCTGTCATTGTGCTATCGAGTGTTTATAACCTTTAGCAATGTGTCCTAGTAGTTAGTACACAATGTACTGACACAATGAACGTCTACGAAACTTAATCAGATTTGTCGGAGCCTATTTAAAATATTCACTAGCAAGTATACAGCGGCATTTAACGAAAAAAAAAGGTAAGCCGCGTTGAACTGCCACTACGCAGTGAGTAATACTTGGCTACGACATTTCTAACAAGGAGGATGAATTTGGTTAAGCGGGCTGTTATACAACAAATTCTTAGTCTCACGAGGGAGCACGCAGTGGTTTACAGTATTCAAGATTGTCAAAAAAGTCTTTTGTAAATGCATCGTACAGAATATGTTAAGAAAAGCCGCACATCTTCCTTCGGGATTCACGTGATTATATTTCTACAGCGCTGCAGCAATCGCATTCCCCCGCAGAACGAGATGGTTTAAAATGAATGCAGAAGACAGCCTGAACAGAAAGGAGATTTATGTGCTCCTAATTATGTGTACTAGACCAAATTTCATTGCGGCGCGAATTACAATTATTTAACACACACCTGGGACGTTAAACCCCACATATCAATCAATGATTTAACACACTTGCTGAAAGCCATATGTATGTCAGAATAAACGTGAGCATGTTTCCTACACTGAGCCCGTCTTCGGATTTTTAATCAAATACTGTTCTATTTGAGGAGCTTACCGACTTGCGAAAACTACACACCTAAGAGTCAAAATATATTAATTGTCGTAGACGCTGTCATCTTGTTTATCGCATCGCGCTTAGTAACTAGGCGTCAGCTAAGCTCAATAACTCCTTTATGAAGTGATGAATATGAGAGCTTGGCCCTTCTTAGGTTAATAGTGTGTGCTGATTGTCACTAAGAAGGCGAAACAATACGGCAAAGAGGAAAACATTGAAATATTACAAATAGTTCCTGCCACGTGTAACTATCTCTGTAGCTTAGCATTCCAAGCCGAAATCATGCACATTTAGCTGTGCATTACGGTGTACAATAGGACACCAAGCTCCTTGAAAACATACAAACTGCATTGTCTAGGACACCCACTGAATTACTTTGATGCCCTCGGCTGATGGCATAGTTTCTTCAGCATTTGGCTTTCTGCACCCCTTGTACGTGCTTGTAGCATGCTTGCAAGCACAGCCTCTGGGATCGTGGCTATAGTTGGCCAAGCTTTGATGCCGCATGGTGACGTCTTGAAGTGACGTCAAGGTGGTTTAGAAGTGTGGTGGTTTGGGCTAGTTGGTATGACATGACGGTAGTTATAGCGCAAGTACAGAACGACGACAAATAAGACGACGTTTCCTTCTAGTTTCCGTCGTCTTCGTCTCCTTCTTGTCCCTTTGTCGTCGTTCTGTTCTCGCGCTATAGCTACCATCATGTCAGGGTGATGTCACAATTTTCTGTGATCTCTGACATCGTGGTTGATACAAGTCACATGGACCTCTCGCACCTTTTTATTCACCTGACGCAATCAGTGCATCGCTGACGTCATTCTAACGTAATCAAATGACGTTACTGGGTGCGTAGGTCCCGCGGGATTTTCGCGTCGTTTAATCGCCTACCATGTGTTGCTCAAGAAAACGCTCAGAGAGACATCTGAGGCTTTCTCATTAATAGTGCGCCCTTATGACAACCGATGACACAAGACAATAAAAGCCTACAGTGAACTTAATTTGTCGTCTCTCGATTGCAGGACGTCCTCGTCCACACGTGGTATTTGTCGGCGGATTTCCAACTGTTTCTCGTCGCTCTTATGACACTTGTGTTACTGAAAGGGTAAGTGGGGCAAAATCTTCCCTTATTGGTTTTTCGGTCATAGCTGATTGCGCCAGCGTCCACAGGGCGTGCAAGGTGACCACGGCCAAAATGATCAAGCGTAAGGTCGTATTTATATTGCGTTCAATGAATTCATTGAGGCGGTGTGATGCAGTGGGTGAGAGTTACCCTCAGCCTCTCTAACAGCTCATGTGCAGAACTACAAATGCCCACAGCGCCAGCGTATCCTGATGGAGAGAAACTTCTTTATTCTGCTCTTTATCAGACCTACTTGTTACTTACGGGGCTCAATGCGGCACGTGGAACATTAGAAAATGCATTTTTCTTATAGCCCACAGTTAACGCAAGTATTTCCATGGCCATTGTCTTGCGTGTCATTTTGATGTACTGATATTTCACCCGGAAAGACGGTTTGCAACGTTCGGCACTGACCACGCCACATCGCAAAAGCTTCGCGATCATTCAAAAGCATTGCTTCAAGATCACGTAGGACGTGAATAGCATTTCATCGGATGTGAACGACACATCCTAATTTTAGCAACGGAAAAATTTTTAAGAGCTCGTACATTCTATAAGGCTTTGTGCAATCATCTCTTTCAGTCGCAAGGCGGCGCTTGTCGTGGCGTTCTCCGTGCTCTCTCTGCTTGGCTGTTCCGTTGGAACATGGATCGTGGCACACCATCAGCTGCTGCCAATAATCATTTTCCCAGGCCCTAACGTCACGTAAGTCGATCCTGGACCATTATCATAGGCGTGTGAGTAAGGGGTAGAGAGCAACAAGGGCGTAGCACCCCCTTTCCCTCCTCACCCGCATTCACGTAATACTTAGTTGTTGTTTTTTAAGTACGTTCAGACTGTGATCTAAAGGGAATGCTTGTGCGGGTAGGTACGACGTGGCCGACAGGAAAACAGCGCGAAAGACGCAGCCCAATAAACAGCAGGACCCGAAAAACAGCGCTGACTAACAACAACACTTATTTTTAACACCACGCAATATTTATTTGCGCAGCCTCAAATAAAAGAAAGAAGAAATAATGATACAAACGATAAGAGCCTTGATAATTGACAAAACTAGATTATCTTCTACTCCGTCTTTCACGCTGTTTTTGTATCCGCCTGAGCGTAAAGGTCTCAGAGGAGGGAGGTCAGCAAGAATGGTTGTAGGTTCACCGACGGACAAACGGAACTCGTTGACTAGACGTATCGGAAAATGACCATGACATCTAGACGACTAATTCAATCGCAGCGCCCAAATAGCACGGAAATGCTCATGTGGCTGCCAGTTTGAACTAATTCACGTAATAGAGTAGCGATACAAGTTACAGATGGCTACGATGCTGCCTAATGATAATTCTGGGCGCCACTCTAAAGATATTAGGCTTTGCCTGGTTCTCAAAAAAAGAAGGTCTACACAAATGCTTCGTGAAGCCGTCACATCCGATCAAGAGGAACGAGGTGTTCTCGCAAATAACTGGTAGGAACTTTTTCTTTTCATGTTTATATTATTGTCACTTACAGCTACCTTGCTGAAGCTAAAGGTGTGAGGCTAATGCGAGGCGCAGGAAATACGTGTTTTTTGCAAGGTGGGCGATCTTGGCAGGAAGCGCACAATTTTTTGTATACAGAAACACGAGACACAAGTGCTTCTAAGTACGTCCTACCAAGACGGTATTATACCAAGTGGCCGGATATAATTGTTTATTGAGGTGGGCGAGACAAGGTCACTACCAAGCAGCCGTTTTCAAACATTCCTTGCACAATTCACGATGCTGTTGATGATGCCTCTACATTGGCTCATACCCACTCAGAAATATTGGTAAAGAATTGATTATATTATTTTTTAGACATTTCAAGTATTCTTGTGGCACAAACTTTTCCATTTTGGCACTCGCACATTTTGTGCATTGTAGTGGGATTGCCCAATTTTTTTGGCAGGCGCTTGTTCCGTTACGACACCGACGACAACTCCACTTTACGCAGGAACGGGTGCCTAAAAGCTGTGCTCTAAAGCTCAGAGCAATGCATATTTTTTACAACCCTAACTTCGAAAATTCCCTCAACTTAGTGCTTCTTACGAGGCCATATGAGAACGCGGGACGTGGGCGGGCCAGTAAAGGTGTCTCGAAGCAAGTCCCGCGTCACCCGAGAGCAGGTTGGGGTGCGTCGAGACGAGTGTCATAATAGAATACAGCCGTTGACGTGGACGCCGCCTGTTCTTCAGGTGACGCGCAAACATGAGGATAGACTAGCGTCCCTGTCTTTCCCTGTCTTCCGGGCGCGTTTTCTCAGGGAAACACGTAGGTTTCTCAATTGTTTGTACATAATCAGCACTGTTCTCTTCGAGTGAAATGTAAACGATACACACGTCTATCATTAGGACTGCCACGTGCGATTCCGCAGCGATTGCTTTCAGAGCGTAAGTACACTCGAGTTTAACCCCTAGAGTCTGAACGATAACGCTCTTTCAAATCCAAGATTGAAATCATTTTTGTGGAGAACTTCTTTTGGTAGCACAGTTTCAACAGGTCTATCGACGAATTCATGCGCTGCGAAGTCTGCACACCATGCGGGTGTTCCACTCACACGCGACGGCATTAACACGAAGTTTTCTCAAATACGACCTATGAACCAACACGTCACAGTGCGGGAAAGGAACTAACGCAGAAGGTAGGACCTTGAGTTGCGCTATAGGTTGACTGTATGCCCCTATTCTTTGTACGTCATGCAGTTTGATGTCCAGAACGCAGAACCTGTACTACATCCGCCCGTACTACCACACAGTGTCCTACTTCAGCGGCTGTATAGCCTTTCTTCTGGCTGAAGACTTCAGAAAGAAGAATATTTCTAAGGTAACTTACACCTCTTCAAAGTTATTAGTGGTGTAGGTATTGTTGGCAACGGGGAGATTGACATAAGTGGCATGAATATAATTGGCGGCTATGCAAGGTGCATGCCTGTACCGCCTAATTCGTTTTCTTGAGGACATGTCTTTGTATAATGTGGAGTCCTGAGTTCATTGCAATAAAGAAAACAATTGATTATCAATACCAGTAATATAACCGTGATCAAGGTACAGTAAAATGAATGAATATGGGCGAAGTTCTAAACTGTGGTAATATATTTGCCTTAAACGATATCTGAAAAGTTGGTCATATCACGATACATGCTTACATCTCATTTCACACTACATTTCATTCATGGGCGTATTGTACCAAACATCATTTCACGCATACGCCGTGCTAAAGCATTCCAAGATACCGGATTTTCGATGTTAATGTTCATGATTATTTTTCAATTCAGCACTGCGATGAACGGGAAAGCTGTCTTTGCATGTACGTTATATATTCAGGGGTACACATAATGAGGCAAAAATTACTTTTGTCAGAGGACCGATTAATTATAATATACCAATACACTTTTTAGTTACTGCAGCAAGTGAACAGGTTTGCTAGTGAAAAGTTGGAGGAATTCGCGATTCTGCATTGTTACTCTTAGAATAGTTTTTCAAGCATGTACAGCCGGGCATAATATGAGTTGCGACACGCTGGCTGTGGTTAAAAAGACCGCAAGTGTGAACGATGGCATCGCGACATTTGTTAAATTGGTTCAAAATGTACCGGTAATTCATATATTTGAATATTCTAACTTTTTGATGCAGGGTCTACTTTGCAATGTTGTTTTCATTCTGAGTACAGACAGCGTTTTGTAACTCACGTTGATCATGGCTGCACATGTCGCAAGTTTTTGACTGCAACATTTAGGTGCGGTTTTATTCATTGCACGTGCAAAGTGATGGTGACAAGTGGAATGTTGTTTTCTGATGTAGCGAACAGCCATTGCCTGCTAGCGCCAGCCGGTAGCAATAGGACAACTGCTATTTATGGCTGTGCCTTCCACCCGTTGTAAGGTTGAAGGCTGTACGGAATGGCCGCATCTCATTCGGGAGGACCTTTGTGCCAGTGCTCCCTGTCTTACATATATGTGTAATCATGTACACCACAACTGAACATTGCTGTGGGATATCTCAGAGCAGAAGGTGTGTAGGACAATTATTTCCAGAGCAACTGGGAAGAAACGTGGCTGCCTCCCGCTTTTCAATACAAACACTGCCCGCTCGCTGCCGTCACTAAAATGTCATCATTCAGTCTTAGCTAAATGTAAGGTTAGCGGCATTCATTGTCTCATTTTGTACTCTATGAATACATATCTTATCTGCAAAGGCGATTCTGACATGCCCCAGAGTGCTCAGTTTCAAAAAAAACATAAAGCCCTATTTTGAACACTCTGCATAATCTTTTTATTTACAATAGCAGCTGAGAGCTACAGTTGACAAAAAGGTATTACCAATGGAGAGCCATAGTGACAACAGTATGTAAAACTACACAACACTAAGGAATGGGACTATTAACGTAACGTAATGATAGGAATAGCATAGGCAGTATAAGGCTCGTACATAACAGATGTTCTTCACCTGTTATCTCCATGCACCTGTTATCTTCATGCGCTTCCATGCACATCATGATGATAATGACGGTGATCGTGTTGATGATCAAAAAGATGAAAGTGGTTGCGATGGTGATGGCGGTGATGTTGTGCTTTAGAAGGTGCAGTGGTAGGTGGCAGCTGTACAATACACTGTGAAGGCTCTTCATTCGTGGATGTTCATGTTTCACCACAACCTTCATCTAAACATTCATCCCCTTTGCTCATTATCTCTTTTTATGACCCTTCTCTAACGCTGAATACCAGCCAGGACCATTCACCCTGACGACTAATGAGCCTCTCTACCGTAGTAAATCTCTCTTTCGCTCTGTCCAGATTGTGCTTAGGTAGCGCTACCACTATGCAGCACATCTATATTCTTCGCTACTCTCCCGTCATTGAAGTTTTATGTGTCTGTCTGTTTTTTGTCAACCCCGCTGCTAGTGCGAGAGGTGCTGGGCTCATTTTCCATAGCCTGAAGCCATCCACATAAAAAATAAGCACAAAAGTATCATAGCAGGCAGTAGTTATTTTGTGTGCTCATTTCACACACAAAATAACTATTGCCTGCTATGATATTTTGTGTTCTTATTTTGCTGCAAGATGGTCTTTTCTTTCCACTTCCTTATAATCCTCTTCTCCCCGGTCTTTCGGCAACGTGACACTATGTTCTTTCGTGGACTGTAGAAATTCAATGTCTTTGTTTTGTTAATCAGTTCCGTGCACAACTCAAGATGCCTGTTTTTTTCAATCAAAGTAGCGCACTCTCTGTCCTTAATTTGTGAAGGCGGACTTCAAAAAGTCGGAAAGAAGCTCTCGATTGTACAAATCCGCAGTGCCGCTCTGTCGCGCATATTTACGCCGGACATGCAAAATTTATTTTAAAGGGCCACTCACCAGGTTTGACAATTTTGAGCTGACAGGCGCAATGCGTAGACGAGACGTTCACGATCACGTCTGCCAAAATTTGCAACGCTACGCGCCATGGAAATTGGTCGAATTTCAAAGTCAACGCTGCTGCCTCTCTCTTCTGCCGGCGAACGCCCAGAGAATGAGGGCATGACGCGCGCCTATGAATGGCCCTACGTACACGGCAATGCAGTGATGTTGGTCTTCTACGTAGACGACCCTGCTCTGACGTCGCAAACAGTGGAACGTGACACGGCGAAAATTATTTAACACGGCATGCGTAATTTATGTAATTCATTGCTTGAAGAGAATAATAAAGCTCTATATAAATAGTGTGACGCAATAAGGAAATGTGAGCGTGTTTTTTTTCTATTTTTCTCTCGTGAGTTGAAACAAGATGCGGGGCTAATGTGTCAGCGTTTCGAATGCGTTCGTGTACCCATGGTCAGCACATCGAGCAGACGACCGCTGTGGAACGCTCCTACGCGTTCGCACGCTCATTGTGCTCATCTATTCTACCGCGTCTAAGCCAGCGTTTCCAAACCATCCCGCAGAAACAGGCAGAAGACCACAAAATAACGCTGGTCAACAAAGCAACACCACTCGCGTGCTCGGGGGTTGGACTTGTCTGGGCACGTCATGCGTACGTGACCTCTTGGTCGGATGCTGGATAGAGTGGGGAAGAGATTTGGCTTGGGAAAGCTACGCGGAGGAGCGGCAAGGGTTTCGAGCTCACCTCCTCTCATCCTCGTTTAACGCCGCTTCGAAAAACCCGTTTTCTCCACTCGTGATGAACTGATTCAAAGAATTTTTGTGGCAAAATGTTCCTCATCAAACACCCAACAATTTCCACTGTCTAGCTAACATTTGGTAAGAGGCCTGGTGAATGGCCCTTAAGGAACCAATGCGTACGTGCATGTCCATTGCCTTTTAATAACGAACCACCTGTTGTGCAGGGCGTGCAACTGGCTGGCTGGTGCGTGTCTCTGAGCTGCGGATTGATATCTGTGTTCGGCAAATTGCCCTGGTACCGAAGCCCGAACCCTACATCTGAGATGGTCACACTGTTCGTGGCCTTCTTCGACCGCATCGTCTGGTCCGTCTTCCTCGTGTGGATCACGCTGGCCTGCTCTTCCGGCAGAGGCGGTAATAGACCTAGGCTCGATGTCATTTTTTCCTGCGCAGATGTGCGTGCTCTTACACGGAAGCTATAGAGCAGGCAAAACCCAAATTAGTCCGTCATATTAGAAGACTTCTAGGAGGTATACACCACATAGGTTGGTCAAGCTCCCTTACTAGCTTTCGCTTTCCTAAAAGCCAAGATATATACCAGGTGAAAACACCGAGCATGTGCAAAAACAATTTTGTGGGGATCACTAATCAGTAAAAATGAAAAGTTCAGCCCCGTTGCCAGACCAGTTAACAAAAGTAGCACTAATTGTGACGATTAATACATTAATAAATACAATGAATCACTCCTTGCACTTCCCCCTTATATTACTTGAGGTTTTGCGTGCCATCATCACGATAAAGTTGAGGGCTCCATAAATTTGACCATCTGGTAGTTTATAACGTGTACTAACATGCCACAGTACACAGGACCCTAGTGATTTTTCTTCATCTTAGTGCGACCACCATGGCGAGAATCGAATGCATGACCTTTCGGTCAGCAGCAGAACACTCTACCCCACCACAGTGGAACTCTTCTGTGAAGGTAAACTTGTGGAGCTCAGAGTCTACAGACTGTGCAATAGACACCGTGATAAATTCAAGCCAAACTTGTGTGCAACCTCATCAAGAAATGCAAATACTTCAATAAGCTATCGCAATTAGTGAAGTGATGAACTCCAGGGCCACTTGTTCCATCTTCGATGGCAAACTATCTGTTCTGAGTGCCTATGCGTTAATTTTGATGTTTTGTGAAGCAGAACCACATACGACTCGTATTCCTACATTTCTTCGTCTGCGCCAACAGAACACTAAACGAAAAACCACGAATGGAAAAAAAATCACATCATATCTATGAAGTGGATAATATTGAGTAGGGCGAAGCCTTTGTCCGTCCCATCGTTACTGCTTCCGTCCATCCGTGTGAGCATCCGTGCATCCGTCCGTCCGTTCGTGCGTTCGTCCGTCCACCTATCTGTGCGTCCGTCCCTGCGTACATCCGCCCATCCTTATATCCATGCATCCGTCTAAGCATCTATCAGTCAGGCCATCCGTCTATCTGTCCATCCATCTAGTGAACACTCCAAGTACCATCAGCTCACATCTTTTCATCATATATTCAGCATAAAGAGTACCATCATCCAGCGAACATTCCAAAGACTAAACGAGAGGTGGCACTCGCGCACTTTTTTATGGCCTGCACTTCGTGTCTACTTTTTCTCTTTCACCACCTTTAGTGTATGGCTACATACTACTTCACAATATTCATGGCACTGCGTTCGAACCCTGCTAAACATTGCAAGAACTAAGGCGGTTACGCCGAGCGAGTTAACGTAGGAACCTTTTCTGGTCAAATAGCACTCAAAGTGCGTCCTTCTCATACTGGTATTCGTTTAGTAAACATTAAATTCAAAGCAGATTTTATTGGACATTAAGTCACCAACACTCATTTCTGTAAGGTATTTCATCAGAAACACCAATCTTTTATTCATGACTAACGTGCGCGGTTTTCTTCTCGATTGAAAAGGGTGCACGCGTGTTGCTCCCCCAGTCTTGCCGTGGAGGTGGCTACCTAATACTACAATGACTACAACTATATACATCGTGGACGCCCGACCCACGGCATAAGCAGCTTCACCCCAACCCCCCCCCCCCCCCAAAAAAAAAAAAAAAACGTTCTGCTTCAAAGAACTGACTGCTGAACGAGCTACTACTCTGCACTGACAATGAACGGTGGAAAAAAAAAACAGAAAGTCAGAGAAAAAGAGATCCTTCAGCAGAGAAGGCCACTGAAGAGACGACCATTGGTATGGCCGTCATCGCAGTAGAAAAAGCAGGAAGAGAAGTCCATCTGTTGAAACGCTGGTGCCAGTGATAACCTCTGTCCAAAGAATGTTAATCTCTTTTAAACTTCCACGTTCTCCCAACTTGTGCATTGTATAGAACAGGAAACGAATACTGCCTTTCATGCAGCTAACATCAAGTATCCAAAAAGTATCTTCACCACACACATGTCATCAATTTGCACTTCAAGCACTCCACTGAACTGTTACCATGGCAGTATACAGTGTACCACGTGGAGTGCGAGCGTCAACACGCAGAAACTAAGGAATGAGCAATCTCAAGAAGTTTAGGACACCACTTCTGAAAATCTTTCCCGGTAACGTATGTGGTTGATAAGTTAGACTGAGTAAGAAAGAGTGATGAATTAGGACACTTCTACCTCTACGTTGCTTAACTGCATTTTGTAATTCCTTCTTGTCATTGACAGGATTAGAGATATAAAATGTTAATGACATGTCCTGTTTCTTTAGTGTGAATTATTTCGTGTCCCGACAGCATCGCATTACTATGAAGAGCCAGGTTTATTCTCTGAATTATGCAGAATTCTTACACATAGCACACGTGAGACCTTAAATAGAATTTTGCTATTCCGTTATATGCACAGTAATTGTGTTTTCGCAATGTCTGGCTAGTTCAAAACTCTTTATTCACTCACTCTAGTCCCTGCGTCTTCCGTCACTTGACTGTACAGGTATCATCGGCAAGTTTTTGTCCTGGAGTGCGTTCGTACCATTGAGCAAGCTTTCGTTTGGCGTCTTCCTCATACACCAGCCGTTTATTAATCTTATGCTGCATGCGTCGAGGGAAAGAGTGGTGTGGTCCAGATTCAACATGGTGAGTTTTTTTTGTAATTTATTCTAGATCTTGTCAGAATTATTACGGTATGCCTTTCGTGTAGGCGGGAGGGCTTGTAAAATAGCACTTATATAGTATTCCATATGCACATATATATTCCGTATACCCGATGCCTTTTAACTATGTGGTGGTCTTCATACTTGAACAGTGAGGAGTCTTGTTCCTTTAAATGGAATGAATTTTACTTCAAAACAACGATAGCTCATAAGTAGAGAACTAACACATTGTTTTAGATGAAGCGGCCTCGTATGTGCATTAAATAGCGCTGCTTTTCATTCGTTATCAAAAGTACTGCATTTACCTTTTTTTCAGGTCACACTGTGGTTCTCAGTGCTAGTTTGGAGTTTTCTGCTGTCTTACCTGGAGTTCCTCGCTTGCGAAGCACCGGTAACCAAGCTCAACAGCCTCATCTTTGGCAGAATACCGGGAAAAGGCGATGCTGGAGAACGGAAGCGGCGAGGACGACCTGCATGAACCGATGCCAGCCAGCATATAAAGCGGACAGCAGAGTTCTATGCCGAAAATGATCTGTGCTCGTATATGTATTATGAAAAGCGGGCAGTTGCCTATCAAAATCTTACTTCTTTACCTATGCACTCACCTAAACTGACTAGATGGAGACAGATATTTTTTTTCTCTCTCGAGTCGTGGTGTTAATTCTGCACTGACACTCTCCGAAAGCTTTCCACACCGAACGGAGCTTTTCCACAGCATCCAGGAACCAGCCTACCGCCTCCGCGATCGGCCAACCTTTGAAAAGCTACGATGACATGTGATGACGTGATCACGTGGTGCTACGCCACGTGATATCACTGTGACGTCACATGGTGTAACAAAGACGCCACACATTTTGGCAAACTGTCACGGCACCGCATGATCATTATTTCTTGCATCACACGTGCAGACGCAACCGACTAAGAACAGCGGTTAATTTTAGCGTTAGACGAGGTATCTAAGGTTTGCGCATTAGTAACCAGCGATGGGTATGAACTTCGCATACTGCATGGCCTGACAGCTTATAAAACAGAATTGATTGATCGATTGATATGTGGGGTTTAACGACCCAAAACCACCATATGATTATGAGAGACGCCATAGTGGAGGGCTCCGGAAATTTCGACCACCTGGGGTTCTTTGACGTGCACCCAAATCTGAGCACACGGGCCTACAACATTTCGCCTCCATCAGAAATGCAGCCGCCGCAGCCAGGATTTGATCCCGCGACCTGCGGGTCAGGAGCCTAGTACCTTAGCCACTAGACCATCGCGGCGGGGCTACATGATTATGAAAGACACCGTAGTGGGGGGCTCCGGAAATTTCGACCACCTGGTGTTTTTTAACGTGCACCCAAACCTGAGCACATGGGCCTACATTTTCGCCTCCATCAGAAATGCAGCCACCGCAGCCGGGATTCAATCCCGCGACCTGCAAGTCAGCAGTCGAGTACCTTAGCCACTAGACCACCATGGCGGGGCTATAAAACAGAAGAAACAACTCTTAGGAAATCATGTTACCTATTGGTTCACCCCTTGCGAAAGATAAAATAGCTTATGAAACAATGGTGGGCTGACTAGCTCGACATATTATTCAAAATACCAGAGCAAACCTAAAGAACCGGGACGAACGAAGGCATTCACAACAAAAGCACTGAGGCATGCGTATGCACAGTGCCTGTGGTGTGTCGGTCATTGCACGTCTTTGTATTTCATTTGAAGCTGCTGTTCCAGAGAATAAACATTACCTACTGTATACTAACACCGTTACCAGTGGCGTAAATCATGGGGGTGTGAAGAGGATGAGTCCCCTCCTTGTAATTAGGATTAGGCGGACACTGTATGCAAGTGTCTCCCTTCGTGATTCATCTTAAATTATCGAGTTTGAATTTTTCAAGTAAAGGACAGCGAACTTCCCGTAAAACCAACTGCATTATATGAAGCACTTTCACTAAACAGAAACTAATTACTTCTAGCTGGTGCACACGATGTGGAACACCTTTATGCGTTAGCACAAAAAGTCCTACCCATTTTTATTGCATTCTTCAACCTGAATGATGCAGCTGCAAAAATGCTAGCTCCTGTCTGCGAGTTCCTATTAGAAGCTAACTTCGCCAAGTGCTGTCACTCATATACTGCTTGACACTGAGTGCTATTTCTTCTGACCAATCGCCGGTATTCATGCCCGATTTTTATAATAATATTATTAGTGTTATTAATATAGAATGCACAACTTTTTACATCAATAGAAATAAAAATAAAGCATATATACAAACACAAGACTGCCTCTGTTGGAAGATGTGCATCTTTCATTGTGGTCTTTATTGACTTACTTCACCGACCGTCACTCAACTCTACGTGTCCTCTAAGCAACGTCGGGGTCAGTGTGCTTGCAAACTAAGCCCATGTGTCCTCCAAGTACATTTTTTCTTTCCTTCGTGCCCTGGATGGGACCGTCATCCACGTGCTTAGTATTGGAACACTTCTATTGCTACAGGTAGCAAGCACTGTCATGCAACACTGTTATGCAAATGCAACAACGAACGACAACAATGGCGTATGGAACATGTGAAATGATAAGTACCCTTCATAACAGATCAGCAAATCGTATGAAAAACTGCTGATAATAGGCACGCACGTCCATGATCGAGAGTGCTTCAAGCACTGGAAAATGACACATTTTTTTAGAAAAGAAAGCGTTTATGCCCGTGTCCAGTATGGCTCCGCTGACGTACTTCCGTCATGGATGTGAGGTTAAAAATATGTGCTAAGAGATCGCAAAGAAAAAAAAGCAGGAGACAAGCATTTTTCGCACGGAATCGAACCAGTAACCTCTCGATAGTCAGCGCGCCGCTACAACCAATACGCCAAGAAGCGTACGTTGCCTGGAGTGTTAACAATAAGCCATTTATATAGAGCATACACCGTCTGGCACTGCGTTTTCAATATCAGTGGCGAGATGGCATGACGAGCTTGTGTTGGGCGTCACTAAAGGTCATCGCCTCTCCGACGCCCCGCCTCGAGGGAGCCTGGTCCCTCCTGCGCGTGTGCTTATCAGACTTGTAATTCGGGAGAGTACAAAGGTGGCTTCTCACGTTGGCACGGCCACGTTTACGAAAGGAGCACGTTGCTGCCGCACGATGCAGGTAGAACTGTTACAGTTGTTCGCGCTTGTCTTGTGTATTCTTTTGCGCTCGTTTCGTGCGTCTTTCTTCCTGTTTAAACAGCGTGCAATAAGTATCCAGCTGTGACCATTGCTAGTCCGTGTTCGGTCCTGGGTATGCTGAATTCGTGCGAGCTTTATGCTTGAGATGGGAGCTGCAAGTTTTGATCTGCTTGCATTCTTAACGTGATTTTACAGTTTGTTGCTGCTGTTGAAACAATGCACAATAAATGCTCAGCTACCTTTCATATACACGGTTCCCTTTCACTTTCGCGCTACCCCGATTAATATATAGGGGGGTCAGCCACGTTTTTTCTGTATTGTTTGTGTAGGTCTTACATTGAATTTCTTGGGGTTAAACGTCTAAAAACCACCTTATGAATATGAAAGACCCCGTAGTGGAGGTCTCCAGAAAATTAGACCACCTGGGTTTCTTTAACGTGCGCCTGAATCTGAGCACACGTGCCTCAAGCGTTTTTGCCTCATTCGAAAATGTGGACGCCGCAAACGCGAATCTATCCCGCGGCCTGCGGGTCAGCAGCCTTAGCCACCAAACCACCGAGTTGAAGCCACAAGGTCCGCACACTTCGTGGCCGATGCCCCGTGGTGCATTGTGCCACTCTTCCAAGAAAAAGCAACAACGAGGCAGCCTGACAGGAACCATTGGAATAGTTCACTTACCGGGGCACCTGTAAATTATTCGGCTTCCTGAGCCCGTTCTCAGAACTCCTTCGCAGGGCGAAGATGACTTGGCACTCGACAAATTGCCTGCGTGAGGAGCCAAGCCCGCAGTGCTTGATACGGGTCAAGAAGGAAACCGGCGAATTCCACACACTCTCACTGGTCCAGCTATTCATCACACCCGAGGAAAACTACACCACCCGAGGTCATCTACTCATGCTCGGGGAGCCCGATTCACCGTACGAAGGCAGATTTTTCCTCTTCTTTGTCAAGTTACCAACAACCTGCACGCTGTGGCCACACCACGCAAGCTTCCTTACTACCGACGGAGGTAGAGTTTACTTTCACACACACCCTTGTCCCTGCGGCAAAGAGTGTGTGACTACATTGGGCTCTGGAGGCATAAAACTGCTGATCACAGACCCGTCCATGATCCAGAGTGCATCAATTATTGGAAAATAGCGCACTTGCGTACGCAGGTTTTTCTGTTACACTAAAAGTGGCGTCAAGCTTCTCAGTGTCACTGGAGAGCCGCGCAGTCACCGTCCAGAACATTCGTCTCTATGCAATCGTCGCTGGGTTACAGCGTGTTCGATTGCGCCAAGGTCTAGTACGAGACAACCCGGGTGACCGTGCACCACCAAGTAGACACTGCCCTCAGAGAGTCCACCCCGTGCCCGCCAGCTTTCAGACAGATCATACTTGAGGTCCCTCCTCGGATCATTCAGCAGCAATACGAAGATGTCGCGAAGGCGTCCATCTAGACGAATTGGGCTCTCGAAGAATCTTTTACCCGAATACGAAGTTTCAAGGAGAAGCTAGAGAAAAAGAGAGTGCCTGAGGGTGCTGCAGTTGCGGACGGTGCTGAGAACAAAAACCAGTGACGCCACCCAGGTCACATGGCTGTTATGAAAGAGAGAGATAAAGAGAACTAACATTTATGTATACATCCAGCGTGTAGGAAGTCCCCGGCCTCGCAGGGCGCGGATGTTCCCTATCTTAAGATTACGGCTATTAGAGTCCGATAATCTCAGAGCCTAGACCTAGAGAATGTTGTGCTCCGACTAGGTAACAGTAAATCGGGTGCCTCCGCGCCCGTTAGACGGCTCGTCAGCTCCTTTTCTCCGTTGCTTCACCAAGCCTCCTCAAGCCGCCGGATGGCGCTAATGTCCAACGCTTCTGAAAGAAAGGCGTTGCACATTAGCGCCATGGTGCTGAGTGAAATCTTTTCTGAAGAAAAATAATGACATTGGAAGGAATGGGCAGTCTCTCACGACTAATATTCCATTCAAAATAAACGACAAAGAAGTTTTTGACTGTGTTTTTATTGTTCTCTGATAATTGTGCCCACCACTCGCATCTGCTTGAGATAAGTGCTTTGTTTGATAATAAATGCTTCTTTTGACAGCTTCTGAGCTATTCTATTGATTATCCTCTGCTTCGAGTAGTATTTTGCTTTGTATGGCGTAGCTACGTCGTCATCACTACGGTGGTTGTAGAGTAAGGCAGAAGGTCTGGCAAGCTTAAGCATCTTGTTCAACCAATTTCGAGCTAACTTTTTAGAGATTGATTTATTGATATGGGGGGGTTTAACGTCCCAAAGCCACCATATGATTATGAGAGACGCCGTAGTGGAGGGCTCCGAAAATTTCGACCACCTGGGGTTCTTTAACATGCACACAAATCTGAGCACACGGGCCTACAGCATTTCCGCCTCCATTGGAAATGCAACCACTTAACTGT